TAAGGACATGTTCTGCAGGCATGAAGAGGGGAACCCCTATGGGATTGCCCCCCTCCACGTTTGTAGGTGCATACCAGCATCCCCCTGCAGTGTGTGTATCATGCTGCCATACCCTGAGTTGGCCTGTGGCCATCATCCCACAAGATCAGGCCCATGAAGACCTGGGGTGGCAGAGACCCCACCTGCAGGACCATGGTCCCAGAGATGCCTATGGATACCAGGGAAGCAGATCGCTGTGTCAGGATACATCCCAGCCCAGCTGATCCCACTCCAAAAATGATATCTGTTTATATCAAAGAGTTCTAGTGCACATGTGGTTATGTCAGTATAAAAGTAGTAATTTGGCTGTCAAGTTTTGTGTTTTTTTTTTATTTCCTAAACAGTATAAGCACTTATATAATAGTATAACAGTGCTTGTACTGCAGAAGTGGGGGGGGGAGGGGGGGGGAAGACGGACGGACGGAGAATAGTTGCTTTAATTATAGTAGAATAATTAAAGCTGCAAAACCTTTAAATCTACACAAATAGCAACATGGTGAAAAAAAAAATCTCTTCATGGTGGTAAGGACAGATATTTTTGCAGAACTGACCTAAATCAGTGGTCACCAACCAGTCGATTTTGATCAGGGCTGGACTCAATGATCCTCCGGGGTCCCTTCCAGCTCAAATTGTCTATGAAATCTATTAAATTGACTGGTCGATCGTGGAGCCTCTGACAGTCAATCTCAGTCTATCAGAGGCTCCATGATTGGGAGTGGCAGGAGGCACGTGACTGGGCTGAGCCATGCCCCCTGCTGCCCGGGCTGGGCTAGGTGAGTGGGGTCAGAGCCTGGGCAACTTGTCCAGGGCGGGTGGGAGGAGGGGTGCCAAAAAGTGATCTTCACCATAAAAAGGTTGGAGACCACTGACCCAAATAAGCGATGTTTGTTCCAAAGGTTTTGTGTTCAAGCTGGTCAAAAATTCAAAAGGGTTTACAATCATTAAAAAAAAAACCTGAATTATGACATTTGTAAGACATTTTCCTTTTTAAAAAATCATCACTTCATATAAAAATTCTAACACAAAACCTTTGGAACAAACATCACTTATTTAGGTCATTTCTGGGGAAAAAAAATATGAAGAGATTATTTTTTTCACCATGTTTATTATATATTAAACTTGCTTTTGTGTATTTTTTTTAAAGTATTTTCTTCCTCCATTTCCACCTCTCTCCCTGGAAAAACTGGAGGGGGAGGAAGGAAAGAAATTATGATTCAGGTTTTAAGAAAAAAAGCAAAATTACCAAGATATTTTTTGTGAATTGTCTTTATTAAAAAAGGATGTTTTCCAGCAAGTATATGTAAATATATGCAGCTCTACGATGTTTCTAAATAAATGTGCCTTTTAATTTAGTTTAGCTGTTTAAGAGAAGGCAACGGTTTAAGAGCACTGGCAAAGTGTAACTCAATACAATGTAACGTTTCAGTTTTGATAGGATTCACTTTCATAAACTCCTCTTGAGATCATTTCCCTTAAATGACAAATCTTTAAACATTTTTCTTTTTACCTTGCTAACTTGTAGCTTCTCAATCTTCCTATCTCTAGGGTTGTTCGTACAAACCTTTTTAAACCACTCTTTCTTGAAAAGGCTGAGATAAGATCTAAGGAACAGAAAATCCTCCAACTACTTTTAGAGCTATCTGCAATCTCTCTCTTTTTTCCAAACCTATATTAGTTTATTTTTCTTTTTGAGCAACCACAGATGTTCAGTTCTGTTTCATAAGTCAACTGACCATACAATGGGTGTATATTGTGATCATCCGCATATTATGTGGTATTTTATATAAATGTTATTGCATGCCAATGAAAATTTTACCAGTGAAGTGACATCTGAAGACTGCATTCAGATAGTACAGGAGGATAACAACTTGTCAGTGATTCCATAAACCACTTGAGCCCTAGGAGATTCCTGGATAATATCAAAGGTAGTGGTGCCTTTATGTGGCATCCATAATTGTCATTAAGTTCAACTTTTCTGTTGAATTTTTGTTGCTGTTGGGGAGACAAATTCTTAAATTCTTTTAACATAATTATTTGTGAATTTAGATACTAGAGGGAGCTGTTAGAGACTTGCTTAAAAACTAAGTATGGACTGTAAATCTTGAAATTTTCAATATTTGGGCTTATTGGTATTTTGGTTTGAGCTTATTGCTACTACCAGTGACCTATTAATGCTACTCTTATGTGTGGGTCAGGAGTAATATCTTTATTTTTCTATGTTAGCTTTTATGGAAGGACATCAAACCACTCAAATCAGGAATACATTTGAAACAAAAAAAAATGCAGAAATACTCACAAAAGCAATATAAACTCTCTTTATAGGGCTTACAATTTCTGATTTTTTTCTCTAAATCTGTGCCTCTTCCCTAAACCTGAAGTCACATTTTGCTGCTGACACTGTACTACATATGAAAAACTGCAGATGTAAATAAAACTTTGCTGTGAACTCAATTCCTTTTTGGTGTAAACAAATGCATTTACAAAATCTGATAGCAAACTTGCATTATTTATGCCCAGATGACTGAGCTTGCAAAACTGCAGTTTGGTTTTAAACAACAGCATGGCTAAACCTACCAGACAGTGGTTCTGTGCTCTGACTGGTGATGTTGTGTGAAGATTCTTGCAGAGAGTAAGTGGATGTTGGGATAGCTGTTGGACTGATACTATTTGCCGATACATATGGAGAGTTGTAAGAAGAGCTGTAGTACTGCGAGTACTGGCTTTGAGGAAAGCTCGGATAGGATGAGTATTCCTTCAGGGGGAGAGAGAGACAGTGAGTAACCATTCTGTATCGCAGGCTCTGTACCTAAAAAAACAAATAGGCAAGCTAATAGGTTCCGCAGATGTTGGTCTCATAGGTCTCAGTTAGGCATACAGATACCCAGAGCTCCTAGATACTTCTTCCAAAGAACTTTTGCCTTTTTGTCATATTCACTCATCATTTTTGAGTACAGGTGCAGTAACTTTTTTGTAGGGGAGTATTGTGGATTAGTTTCTCAAAATGGGCAGCAGCAAGATTGAGGGTTGCTGTAAACAATTTCCTTAAAAGAAATGTAAAAGAAGGAAGTTAAAAAAAAATGGAGGAGGAAAGTATAAACATTTGCACTCTCTCTCGGCCTTGTGATTATCCATAGATTTCTGAACAGCTGCAACACTAATTACAAAACAGAAGAAGAAAAACTAAAACATTTTGCAGAAATTTCCAAGCACCTGAAATTTTCTAACCACTGTGGCTAATAAATTAATCTTTAAATGATGTACCTTTCCCAAAGTTTAACTATCTAGGTAAAATGTAACAATAATCCCTTTCCAGCTCACTGAAATGCCATATCTAGGAAACAAACATTGTAAGCAACCTTGGACCTGACTGACCTCAATGAAGTGAGTCCCTGGCTAAGTACAGACAGTCAAAAACCCCGAGGCTGAATTGATTCAATCTTTGCAGGTTAGTCTAAGCTGCATAGACTGAACTGATAACTAAGTAAACAGACATTCACTTTTGACTCCAGAAATGCAGCCAGATGCCTGCAGTGGTTCAGGCCAGAAGCTGAAGGGCACTAGAGCAGTGGTTCCTAACTGCCGAGTCATGAAGGGTTGGCTGCTGGTCTGCAGGAGGGTTGGTTGCCAGACTGGAAGTGACCGTAGACTGGCAAACTGCGGACTGGAAGTAACCAGCATACTGCGGACCGGCAGCTATCCTCCCCCTCTATGCGACATTGGTCAGGCCACAGTTCTGGGCGTTGCACTTCAGGAGGGATGTGGCCAGCATCGAGAGGGTCCAGAGGAGGGCCACTCGCATGATCAGGGGGCAGCAGGGCAGGCCCTATGAGGGGAGGCTACGGGTCCTGAATCTGTTCAGCCTCCGCAAGAGAAGGCCGAGAGGGGATCTGGTGACCGTCTGTAAACTTACCCAGGGAAACCAGCAGGGAATGGGAGAGACCCTGTTCCCCCGAGCGCTACTAGGAGTAACTAAGAATAACGGCCATAAGTTGACTGAGAGCAGGTTCAGACTAGACATCAGGAGGCACTACTTCACAGGCAGGGCAGCTAGGATCTGGAACCAACTTCCAGGGCAAGTGGTGCTCACTTCTACCTTGGGGGTCTTCAAAAGGAGGCTAGATAATCACCTAGCCGGGGTCGTTTGACTCCAGCATTCTTTCCTGCCCATGACAGGGGGTCGGATTTGATGATCTGCTCAGGTCCCTTCCGACCCTACCAACTGTGAAACTATGAAACTCAGTATGCTGGTCACTGCTGGTCCAGTTTGCTGGTCCACAGTCACTTCCGGTGCACAGTTGGCCAGTCCTCAGCATAAAAAGGTTGGGAACCCGTGTGCTAGAGCACTCCTCTCTGCTTGGCTGGAGCAGACAGCTTGGGCCAAGGCTAGCCAGCCCACCCTGTGAGGTGAGGCTTGTGGGAGAGGCATAAAACATCCTGGGAGGCTGGGGGACTGTGAGTTAACTTGAATCTGGAGGGGATCTGGAACAGAAGTTCAATTAACTAATTCAACCTAAATCAGTTAATTCTAATGCTACATCCATCCAGATTTGTCTTAAACTGGTTTCGGCCATTTTGAAAGAGGTTTATATACTCTGAACTTCTGTTGTGTTACAGGTTTGAACCAGTTTCCAATCACTTATATCAGTTTATATGTAATTTCTGCCCCAAGCCCCTCTGACTGCATAGGTGAAGCATAAAGAGGGCAAGGGGGGCATATGCCCCCCCCCCCCGAGAGTGCTGATGCCCCCCTGACAGTGAGCGCTCTGGCTGGTGCCCCCCTGAAATTGGTTCTGCCAGCGGCACGGCAGTGGCAAAAGTGCTGGCGGCGCACTTGGTGACCAGCCGTTGGGGGACCCCCAAAATTGGGAGGCACCAGTCGCCCATGTCTGACTGATTCAATGTCTGAGCCTCTTAGTGAGGGATGAATGAGTTATACTATTCACTGTACTCTAAGATTTGATAAGACACATAGAGTAATTAAATGGGACAGTGTCAAAGCTGGAAGGTCTAACATACTAGTAAATACCTTCCATCTGTCTTTTGCTTTTCAGGAATCCATAGGCATTGCACACCAGTCCTTTAGTTTGAGTCTCTGTTCCTTCCTTGTGAGGTCAGATATTGAAATGTACAATAAAATGTAAAGGGGGGGAGGGGTTGTAAATTTTAGTCCCTGATGTACTCATTTAATTTCTTATGAATGGAGAGATACTGCAGTGTGCATACACTCACGGTTTAGGGAAGCACATGTCGATGACCTGCACGGCACAATCTAGCATGCCGGGGCACTTGCTGATAGAATGGTTTGGCTGTTATCAGTAGTGCAGTCCTCATTTTGGGAGAGTGAATAGAGGTTCCAGAATAAGGAAGAAGAATTTAAAAAAAACAACTTTTTATTGAAAGGTAGTTCAGATGTGTGCACTCCAGTCCTGAGAATTGTAATCATGGAATAAATGCAGCTTACCAAGGTTTTCTTAAGCTTAATTCAAGGACGGTTTTTTTGTTTCTTCATGCCACCAAGGAATATTAGGAGGCTGAATTATTTAACGTTTTTTCCCCTTTGTACGTGCATATGCTTCCTGCCCCCCAACTTTTTTTGTTTGTTTAAAAAAAATTGGAATGCCGTGCCAAGCCTGACCTTCTCAGATTTGTTCAGAGGACTTTTTAGGGGTTTCAAAGGTATATCCTGTGAACTCTCACCATTTAACCTTGTGGATTACACCAGGAGTTAGCAACATTTTGGGGCAGAGTGCCAAAAAGACTCGCAACCTCAACTTACAAGATGGTGTACCAGGGCAGACAGCAGGGGAGCCACAAGGTGCCTGATCCTTGTTGTGGCAGTGCTGTTCCAGCCCCTTCCCCACCGTCTGCCCAGAGGGGCACGTGCCAAGCAAACTGCCTTTGTGTTCCAAGCTCTGCCAGGGGTTGCCTATTATACCTTTCCCTTGTTAATAAACACTTTGTTTGCCATAGCCATTGGTGTTAAGAGAGGTGTTAGCCAGAAGTCAGTTGTCCTCTCAATTGTTCAGGTTTTAATCTGTTGTGAAAACTTTAATAGTTGTCAGTTACCACACAGTTCTCAGTAATGGGGTAAAACCCAAGTTTCCAGTATAAAAAACAAGTTGGAAAATAAACTTTTAAAATCCATCACAAAAATACTGGAGGCACAAGTTAAAATATTTTACCGTCTTGCAGCCCCTCTTACATTTCAGAGGCACTTCTATTGGTCTCTACTAACCACAAATCCTTAAACTGAAAATTAAATAATAATGAAATAACCTGCTGTTGTCATGAGGATTATAGCAACTTCCACGTGGGGAAGGAACTGGAAATGAACAGGGCACGGCTGCAAAAAGACTTGCTTCCCATGTCTTCATGACTGACACAACTAAGAGTAGTTCTTACAATCTTTACTAGTAATTAAGTAGTCTTGGTGTCTTCTACACACTGTGTTTTTGCATGCACATGTACATGCGTGTAAAATGGTGGCAACAAGTGCAAGTTATGATGTCCATAAATAGGTCTGTACCCAAATAAGAAGCAGTACAGATGGCTTAGGTAGCTCATTATTCACCAGGCTCTGTGTAGTACAGTTCTACGTTGTTTATTCCACATTTATTACATAAAGACAAGAGAGCAAAGGAAGAGGGTGTAATGGAGGAGCATTCTGTAGGTGATGGAAAACTTTACTTAAAAAAAAGCTGTTAATATGATACCGTGGGTTCCCACAAGAATATTTTCAACATTGTAATCAAACTACTGCTCCAGAGAAGGGAATGCCAGAGGAGAGAGAGTTTTGTCAGTATTCTGTTGCAAAGACCCCTGCCAAGCCACTGGTGTGTCCACATGGATACATGTGTTTAACCAAAACCAGCTTACGTTACGACAGTTGCTAGGCCAGGTATCTATAGAAATAATTTACGGTATCTGTAAACAGATCTACATTTTAGGAAATCTAATATATATGAATATTAGGAGAATCTCTCTTATTTGGGGTGTTTAAATAAAGGCCAGGAATAGTCCTGATAATTGTTGAGGACGTACCTGATGCACAGTGCTGAATCCTGCAGAATTAGCAAGGCCATTGGCTCCTTGGTAAATCCCTGATGTGCCTAAAGAAAATAACATCACATTTGCATATAACAAAATTCCTAGAATGAAAGTAACGGTTACACAACAGGAGGAAAAGTACATTTCTCCTGCCAGTTTGGTGCCATAAAGCACCATGTCACAAATCCATGGAAACTACAAAACAGCTTCTGGTGTCATAATTTGGGCTCCTGTTGAATATTGCTTAGTGAAAGGCATGCAAAGGTAACTACCTAATGCACTTTAATAATATACAATGGAGCTGGAAGTAGTAGCACACTGAAGCTGGTAAATAGTAATTCACAGGAAGTTTGCAACTTGGGATATTGTATAAAATGATTTGCAGTATTACAAAACATATCAGGATAGAACTTCCAAAACCTCTTCCTGAAACCTAATCATGAAAATGAATACCTCTAGTTGTGCATCCTATCAGTTGTTCATATATGTGTATGGGCATACACAACATTTACTGTGCAACTGTGTCCTTGAATCTCGGTCTTGATGGACCAAGTGCAAAGTTATTTTAGGATGAAGTTTGCTATTCTGGTCCCCATCAAGACACTATGCAAAGACTCCCAAGTTTACAGCTGATGGAATCATTGCACAGTCCTGGGGGCATGGATGCTTTGTGGCTCACATTTGTATGATTCTCTTTGATTTATGTCTGGAGCACAAACTAGCCACCCTTAAGAATTAATTTTGATGCAATGTATTTTGTTGCTGGGTGTGGCAGGAGAAAGGAAAGGCCTTAACAATTTGGCATCTGGTAGGAGAAGTAGTAATGGTGAAATAGAAGATTTTGCTGCTTCCTGTCTTCAAGATGGTCCTGAAAAAATTATTTTAAGTCCAGTGTACAAACTCTTCAGGGAGTTCCTTCTTTAGTCCATTAAGTTGGCCTCCTAATTTTTGCAGCCATGGGCTGGTTACAGCTCTGACCCTAAGCTGCCTCTAACACACAGAGGCAGCTCATGATGCAAGCTGGCAGGCTCTATAGAGTATTTCAGGTTGCAGCTCATAATCAGCCTTAGCTCCAGTTGAACATTTAGGGCAGCTGTGACCTGTGAATTAGGTGTGGTCTTTGTGTGCCAGCAGGTTTTCAGCAGGCCCTTAGTTGTACATCATTCAGTCACCCCGTTGCAATGAGACTAAGAATCCTAGGAAGCTAATTGTAGATCCATGCAAGTCGTATTTTCTTACTCTGACTCTTGCTATATTAAACGCTCTCCCTTTACATATTGGGACCTTTGTGACCAGTGCTGTCTTAACCAGAGCATAGAAACAAATGCCTCTCAATGTCTTCACATGGTGTCCTTTCTCCAGTTTGTTTTTAAGACCCTAGATTAGCTGGGGAACAGACAGCTGAACAAACTGTAGCCCGCCAAGTGCAGTCACAAAGCACATGCAGTGAGAAATAAATCTCATGCCAAAAAGAAATGAGAAGGAAGATCTGCCTCCAGAACTAATTTGCTGCTCTGTAGCCTTGAAAAGAATAAAAAGGAGGTGGAGGAGGGAATTGTGAAGAACTAAACTTCTTTTCCACTATGGCCCCATGTATCTTCGACTCTCCCATTTCTTCCTCTGGGCACCCTCCTTTCGTTTCCCAACAGAGCTGCAGATTCAGGTGCTATATTCATACAACCAGGACCTAAAATATGTACAGCTGTTCATTTTTTGGTGAAATACATTCACCCCAGGGAGAATCTGGGAGTAACAGACCAGGCCTGGTTTTCAGGACAAGCAGTTCAGGAAAGAATGAATGCAGGGCAACCGTTGTCTTCAGCTGGTGCAAACCACTGAAGACC